CCTGCAGAAAGTTTCCTTGTGCTGGAAATGTCTCTTTTGATACGACCCAGGTCTATATCTGTTATTTCTGCAGTTGCATGTGTCTGGCAGCTCAGAAAGATCCTGAGGTCAGCAAGTACACCCAGATCTTTCTCTACCTCCTTTATTTCCAACTGATGAGCTCTAAGCTAACAGCAGATGTTTTACCATCAGCACAAGAGCTTGCCCTTCGATTTTATACAAGTGAATGTCACCCTGTTTCTCTCTCTAGTCCTTTGGGTCATCTACCTATTTGTCAGATATCCTGATCCTCCTCTGTGGAACAATGCCTTCTTCCTCGTTAGCAATTTTGTCAGCGCAGGCCTATTTTTAAGGTCACAGTCACTCACTGTAATACTAATGAAGATTCATCCTCAGATAGTTTCTTTCACCTTGATGCTCTCCTTTTTGATACAGCTCGCAGCCACCTCCTCCCTGTTCTCTTTCTCCTCACTTCTCGCATACGTGTCTTTGATTATTCTTTTGGGTTTTCTTATACAATGCTGCAGGTTGTTAAGGTTGGACTGATAAGCCAAGTCTTCCTAGATAACACTTTTTCATGTGTGCTTTATAGTAGTCGTCTTCCCATAAAGAATAACTCCTAACAAAAGCGTCTCATTCAAAGTATTGCTCAGCACTGGGAAGAAGGGAGGTATTACCAGTCCCCTCGTTTGATCACAGAAAATGCCCCGAATGTGGTTTCAGCCTCATCTGTGCTGGTTTCCACCCTCATTCCTTTTCCTCTGCCCCTGCAGAACATAGCTCCTGCTGGGTTTGACATGGTCCAACTTGACTTGCCATGTCTGTAGGACATCTTAGTCCCAGGTTCCTCCTCATTTCACAGTAATCCCTCACTGGAGGCACCTCCTTTATGATCCCAGCCTCTGCCCTCCACTGGGCAGTGAAATGCTGTTCCAGTGGACTGTCCAGGTCACCTCAGGTCTGAGTCACCCCTCAGAGATGCTGTTGTGTCTCTATTGACTGCAGAGCGCACGTTGGATGAGGAAGCGTTCTCATCTGGATGCCTCAGTGAGGGGAACAACCTCACGTAAGAGAAATCCAGGCCACCTGGCTGCTTGTACCATCCCTCCCTGGTGGAATCAGTTCGAGCTGGGGCATGGCAGCAGTAGCCAAGCCTCAACCTCTGCAGCCTCAGCTGGAGCCCTGCCTCACATTGGAAAGTTCAGGTCACCGCACAATGGCGTTAGAGGGATTCTCGCTCATCTTTATCGTATGCTGGCAGCAGATCAGCCTGCCTGCTCATCCGTCTCGCTCCTCTTCCCACCTCCCTTCTCTTTCCATTAATCTGATTGTCCATCTGCCTCCCGGTCTCTTGCTGCACCTTGCCAAGTTCCCCATCCTCAGAGTGTGGAGGCACGTAGTTCAGCGGGCGAGGAAGGGAGGGAGGGATGCAAACCCTTCCAGGAGCCCGTCAGGAATACAAGTTAGCGCCGAGCGTGCTCCGCCTCTCGAGGGCCAGCGGAACATCTCATCCCCTGCCATCAGTAGAAAAACAGATGTTTTTTAGGGGGGAGCTTGGGGCTGGGTGGAGAAGGGAGTGGAGGAGGAGAGAAACCCCTCCTCCCCACCGTTGTTTTGGAGGGGTCGGTTGTGGTCCTGGTGGTGTGCTCTGCTGGCGGGAGGGAGGTGTGTGCAGCATCTGGGGCAGGTTTGTCCCAAGCCATTCCAAGGCAACCAGTTCTCAGCTATCCTCCTCCTGTTCCCAAGAGCAAGTGAGGCTGTTGACTTCAGAGCAGGAGACAGCATGTACAGTGATCCAGGCTGCTCCCTAGGAGTATTCCTGCCACTGTCCAAAACAGTCCATGTATGAGCGTGGCCAACATTGGCTGCTATAGAGCATCTCCTAGTCCATGCAAATCACCAGCTCTGCACCCATCTATCTCCCACCACTGGGCAACGTTCTGACCTTGCCCCCACCTCCAGCTCTGTTTCATCATTGCGTGCAGGTAGCAAAGGGTTAACTGCAAGGAATTTAAGGCAGCATGGTTTGGACAGACCACCAGTGGGCAGAGCTTTATAGTGGTATGGTAGGCACTGGTTAAGAGCTACTACAGCTGTGATCTGCCTTGTAGGGTAACAATTCCTTCCTCATGTGCCTTCTCTTTGCTGTGCTTTGCTCTGAGCATGTTCTGGGGGAACATGCAGAGACTTTGGCTTAAGGTCTTTGCTTCATGCCCTGGGTGAAGATGGGCCATACCAGAAAGCTGTCATGAGCATGAGCTGCTGGGAACTTCCCAGGTCTTCCCTGCATGAGGACAAGGTCTCGCTGCCCTTGCGCGTGCTGCTGGTCATGTTATCACAATCGTAAAACACTAATTTGTTCCCTGTTTTGTGGTTTTCCTGAGGTATTACAATGGAAATGATGCGATAGGGATTGAAGTGTGTTTGTGGTTGCAAGTTGTTCTTCAGTCTCTCGATCCAACAGGTAGTCAAGGACCTGATGGATCCTTGGCTGTTCCCACCAGCATGCACAGAATCCTTGCTCGGCACGTCTGTGGCTTGTGTCCAGCATTTGTCAGCCAGAATTAACTCCTTTGAAGGCATATGCAATAGGGATGGTGGGAAGTCTCATCTAAAATCTGGGTCCTGCTGTGCTTTAATGCAATGGGAGACAGGGTGTGACTCACTCCCTGGGCAAAGTGCTGTAGCCGGAGCCCAGCTGGAGGCAGCTGCCTCTGCTCCTCATCATTGACGGGGCTGAGGCTCCTTGATTGTACCTCCTCCCAGACCCGAGAGCTCTGATTTTGTACTATGGCAAAACGCGGTGTAGGAAACCGGGCAGAAACATTATGGTGGTGGGATGCTCGGCTCCTGGAAAGAGATCCTCTTCTGTTGTCCTGGGGCTTAAAGCAATGAGGACGACAGCCACCCTGGCTTCTTCAAGGAGATTGTCTCCGAGGAAAGCAATGCATGGCCAGAATTTAAAATCACCCTCCTGTGATGCTCACATCATAATTATCTCATCTCCTGTGCCCATGGGAGCGTTTCATGACACCTTTATCCAGTCCACACTCTTCCTCTGTCTGCCGTCTGGCTTTGAAAATGTGGAGAGGATCCTACTGGACGTGACTGCTTGTTCTTGTAAGCAGGCGAGAGGCAGACAGTGTGACTGCTACTCCTTCAAGAGTCTTGCCAAAGCCTACGAGCCCATGTGATCCAGGTGACCAAACAGGAC